CTTTAACCACAAATGTCTCAAATCATACAATACACTCCCAGTTTTATAAGTACTTCATTTTAACTAAATTATAGCATCATAGCTTCTCATATCTTTGAAAAACAATGGTTTAAATAGAGGATTTATTAACTCTTTTCAAAAGTTATCACGATACCAGAGTTCTTTCTGCAAATTAAAGAGTTGCATCTCTCACCTCTTAAAATTTCAATTCATCGGTTTCACAATAATTTGAAAGAGTTGCATCTCGATCATGAGCTCCCCAACTATCAACAAAGATCTAAATAACATAATAACATTAAGTTCATCACTCAATTCTAACTCAACAAGTAGCCGTTTATTAATTAACATGTGAAGATCATTTAAATAGGGAGCAACATATGTACTTTTAACCATTTTTAAAGTAAGGATTTTAGTTGCGAGGTACACCTTATTATTTATCGTGGTTTTTTGTTTATGTTGGCTAGGTATTCATCAACCTTTCATGCTCGTCTTTGTCGCAACACTACTTTGACAAATTTTTTGTTAATGTCAGGCATGTTGGATCCGTATGGCAACACTATGGGAATCAATTTTAAGGACAAATCAAATAACTAAGTAAACTTTTTAAACAAAAACAAATCATGCACAATTAATAGCAACTCAAAATAAAGATTAAAGATGAGCACAACAATTATTTGTAATAAAGGAAAATATACTTGAAAGATAAATTGCATGAAATAAAAAGTTTATCGATAAAGAAAATGTTACGCAAGAGATTTATAGTGGTTTGGCCAACTCCGGCCTACTCCACTCTCCGATCACGTCTCTATTGGGTTTGGTGTCCTTAGCTCGTGTATTTGTAATTTATGAACAAATTATTTATTCAATAAAGAGTTATCTGTAACGCCTCGCGTTACTCAGGTTAGCTTGCCCTGAGTTCCGGAAAATTTTATAACAAATAGAATGTGGTGGACCTTTTACTATTATGGGAGTTTCGACTGCCACTTTTCCTTTTAGTTTTTGTGTGGAGTATCGTGCCAACGTCTTACCGAAATTTTGTGCCGTTCTTCCAGACAATGCCTCCCCGTCATAGTATGAGATTGCGAGCTGACGCCGACCCCGCTCCCGGAGGTGAGAACGGAG